CGACTTGGAAGGCAGGCTTAAGACCACGGGAGCTTGAAGGGGCTTCCGCAGCAGGTGCGCCTGGGACGAACTAACGCTGATTTGAGCCCATTTGGACTCTCGGAGAAGGGGGGGGGGCGGAAGGTACCAGCGAAGGATGCCCGAAGGAAAGATTTGCACGGGACAACTTTGGAGTCCGATCCTTCGCGGCTATACTCGGGCACAAGTCCCGCCCCCGCCCCGGATTACAACAGGGATCCAAGGAGATCGCTTCGGAGACTGAGCCCAGGAGCTAGCCTTGGGAAACACGCACAGCCCCCAGGGTGGCACGTGGGCTAGCGGGTGGGAAATCCTCCGCGAGGGGGGAGAGCCCCGACTGCGCCAGTCTTTCCGGGTGGGCGTGGACACTGGGAGTGAGGGGTGTGGCCTCGGGAACCCTCCCTGGCAGAGTGCTGAATACAGTGCTGACAGGGTGTGTGTGTGCGTTTAATTACAGTATTGTTATCCTCCAATTAAAGAATGAATGAATCATCTGCCTTTTAAACAGTTAAAATATACTGTATTGGCATATAACCCACTTCTCAATAACAGTGCCGTTCTGAGACACATTTCAATCCAAGCCCACGGTGCTAGGAAAAACAGCTCCCGCATCTAAGATAATTACCTCCGCCCCCCAAAAAAAACCCCACAAACAAACCGCACAGTCCCGCTTTTTAAAAATCCTGCCTCCCAGATTAAAACAGACCTTCATTTCCGGCTGAACGAAAGCTTCAGCTGACTGAGTAACTGATGAAATATTACGCCCTTTGTTCATTAGAAGAGGTGAGCCTTTGCTTTGTAAGAATGAAAAGCATCTCCCTAGCAGGTGCATTTTTCTTCTTCCCTGTCAAGGCAGAGAGATCAGGCACAGGCCAGGATGATGCAAGAAAGGCAGCCCGGCCCCCTTGGGGCGAAAGAGGCCCTTAGCCTCCGGGTGATGCCCAGCCCGCCCCAATCCCGCCTGCCCCCTTACCAGGCTGCAAGGGCGAAAGGCCCTCTTTGCTTTCCCCTTCTGCCCAGAGCAGCAGCGAATGCCAACAGGCTATCTCCCCTTTGCCCCAACCACCAGAGGCAACTGGGACTGCAACCCCACCAACCACCACAAGCAGCAGGTATCAAAGCATGCAGGCACCTACAGTCATTTTGGACTTTTGAGGGGGGGGAAGCACCCTCTTGCCTAGAACATCCCATGCAGGAGCCAAACCCTGGCCACTTGACTCCAATACCCTGGGAGGCCAGGGACCTTTTCTGAGTTAAATTAAATTAACTGGGGTCAGGGTTAGGGGGACCTCAAATGGGCTCCTGGAGCCCACCTGGGGACTGTGGGGGTGCACTTTGCCCACTCCTGTGTGCATGAATTAATGCATACTAATGGCCACATATTTACACTTCATATAGGCCAGGTAAACTTCAGACGACCTCCCATCCTCCAGCAATCAACTTGTCTGCAAATGGTACACTGTCTCCTTTCAAAGCCATCTGGTCACCACTACATCTGGTGGCCGTGCATTCCATAGTTTAACTACATGCTGTGTGAAGAAGTGCTTACTTGTGTTTGTCCCAGATCTCCCACCGTTCACCATTCAGACCCCAGGCTCTAGTATTATGAAAGAGGGAGAAAAACCTTCTCAACCTACTGTCTCCACATCATGCATAATGTTGCATACACTCTATCATGTTATGTTCCCCACCCCCGCCCCACTTCCTTTTCCCCCTGAACTTTTCTTTATGGGGAATTGCTCCAGCCCTGATCATTTTGGGGTTTCCCCCTCTTTTTTTTCAGTGCTGGCTGTAAAATATACTTTTTCAAGTGCCATGACCAGTACACAGCATTCCAAACACAGTCACACCCATGGGTTAATAAGAGGGCATTATGATTAGGGCTGTGCACTGGATTCAGACCACATTGGACATGTCTGGAGTGATTTGTATGAAGTTGGATCAAAGTGGAATGGCTAGATTCACTTCTGGTGCAAAGCAAAATGAATTTACAAATTTATTCATCTCCAGATTATATACAGTACAGTGGTGCCTCGCTAGACAGTTACCCCGCATGACAGTTTTTTCGCTAGACATTGGCTTTTTGTGATCGCTATAGCAATTCGCAAAACAGTGATTCCTATGGGGAAATTTCACTGGACAATGTTTGGTCCCTGCTTCGCAAACCAATTTTCGCTAGATGACAATTTTGACAGCTCCCTCCTCGCTCACAAACAGGTGTTTTTGGGACCTACAGTAAGCTTCACAAGACAGCGATTTAAACAGCTGATCGGTGGTTGGCAAAGCGACTTTCCTGTGGCTGATCTTCACTAGAAAATGATGATTCTTCCCCATTGAAACACATTAAACAGGTTTCAATGCATTCCAATGGGGAAATGCTTTTCGCTAGACAATGATTTTGCTAAACAGCTATTTCAGTGGAATGGATAATCATCGTCTATTGAGACACCACTGTATTTTGAATTGGATGGCCCACAAGTCACTTCAGCTCACCAGGTTTATTTTTTAACATACATTTTAAAGATGCCTAGTAGGCGAACCAAAGTTAACTCTCTGAAATTTGTGCTCCCTTCTTTACATGCATACTTCCAAACTTCACCTACATCAGTGGGGAAAAACAAAACAACACCACAAAGTTACAGCCATTTTACTTATCCAATGTACTTCACAAATCAATTTGGATCAACTGCACAAATGGCTCTGAACCTTATTGGGATATATTCTGAAGCCCCAAATTGGCCTCTAAACCAAACTGGGGACCTGTGCGCAGGCCTAATCATGATATTGCCACTTTCATTTTTGGGACTTCCCCAATGATTCTTAGCACAGAATTGGTCTTTCTCACAGCTGTTAGACACTTCTTTGATGTTTTCATTGAAAGGGTCACTTTTGAAGCCCCAAACTCTTTTTACTGGCTAGTTATCAGCTCAGCCTTCATCCATGGATTTCTTGATGGGTTCATTTGTTTGCATGTGCCCCATTTTACATCAGTTATACACTGAACTGCAATTGCTGTGTTATTGCCATTCAACCCATAGGGAAAGTTGCTTTGGAGTTCTTTGGAATTGAGTATTGTTTGTACCACATTAATTGTTGCCTATTAAAACTTGGTCATCTCACTGTTCACAACAAACTCAAGACTGCTTATTAGTGAATAAAAATGCCGTTATTCCAGTTCCTTTGTGGACCTCTCCACTCTTTATGTTCTTCCACCATGGAAGTGTCCCTTTCCTATTCTCTGCTTTCTGTTTTTTGGACAGATCTTTATGGGAACCTCATTCTCTTATCTCCTGACTTACCTCCTGTCTGCCACATTTCCTCAGGAGTTTTTGGTGAGGAGCTTTTTGAAAGTTCAAGTATGTACCATTTACCTGATCATCCCTATCTGCATGTTTGTTGACACTCTTCAAGAACCCCAGCCCTAGCTGAAATGAACTCTGGTTCGTTTGACAGATGAACTCTTCTCTTTAAGCATATGAGCAAAAACAAACAACAATACAGTGTCTTTTGCCTTGATAGTTTACATATCAAGAGCTTTAAACCATGGGCATACATTTCACAATTTAAGTTTTAAATACAGTATATGATAATAATTATGTGCCATCAAGTTAATTACAAATTATGGTGACCCTCCCAGGCTTTTCTAAAAGGTAAAATACTCAAAGGTGGTTTTCCAGGCCCTCCTTTGGTCTGGGATTGTGCAGCTTGCCCAAGGCTACACAGCTGCCAGAGCACATAAACCCCTTTCCGTTGCACCTGCTCTGAGTGGGCTTGGTTAGCCCCTTTCCAAAGAGGTACAGTGCAGGGACTGGAACGCCTGGACCTGGCTACGCAGCCAGATACTCCAACCCACTTAATGTTACCAGCTGTCTTCTTGTATACCATCCCATTAAGCACCGGAGCACACTGCTAAAACTCCTGCTGGGGACAGGGTGCTGAGGTCTTCTTCAGGTCACCCATTGTGTTTGAACCCTAGCTTTCCTGGTTCGCATGCTTCATAATTACCCCAGAGCCACTTAAGGGCTACATCTGAATTCAGAATCATTATGAATTACATATCTTAAAGTAATAACTCTCTGCCCTTCAGATAAAATTTCCAGGATGGCTTACTACATTAAGAAGCAATTTAAATATCAGCAGAAAAATAGGATACTAATTTAAAGGCTTTGGAAAATAGAAAACCTTTCACCTAGTTCTTCCAAAGATGTGAGAGATTTATTAGCAAGCAAACATCTAGAAAAAAAAAAGAATTCCAGAGTTGGGATGCTGTGACTGAAGATACATTCCAGACTTTTGAATTGTGCTAGGAACCAACTGTCTTTTCCAAGAAGCATTCGGATTCAGCCCTATCTACCGCATGGACTATGGCAGCCAGGCTGTTGCATCTGTCTTTCAGCATGTTCTTTCATGCTGGACACCCACTAAATATCAACAAAGCTTCTACCACAGATTTGCCACCAGTAAATCCCATCAATAAGCCCAGAGCTGCCTATCTCACAGCCTTACCTTCTAAGTACTCCTCCAAGAAGTGAGGCATTCAGACATTCCGGAGGTGAGAGGCGCCTTTGAACTTCTCCAACTGTTACTTTGTACTTAGAAGTCGAACTGAGCAAGGACAGCCGCCCAGGTACCGAACAAAACACTTCGCCTGTGTTCACAGACATGCCACCAAGGAAACCATCTTTGTTCATCATCAAGGAAGTAACAGATTTCGGAGGAACTGGAACTGGGGAAAGGGGAAAAAAAGTGGTGTGAGCAAGATCACACTGTAAGGGCCCATGTAGGCCAACCCTAGCCACCTTTACACACACACACACACACACACACATACACACATCCCTATGCCGGCATAGTCCCACTGGGATTTAGAACAACTAGGGGGACCTACTGGCTTGCCACTACAACAGCATTTTTCTTAGACAGTGGTCAGGTCTATGCTCCATAGCACCTTTCATTCAATTTATTAGACATTTATCACACACCTTTCCTCCAGTGAGGTCAAGGTAGTGTACATGGCTCCACATGTCATCTGCACCCTCTGAGGTGTGGTCATGCTGTGAAAGAGGGACTGGCCCAAGGTTGGTTCAGCATGTTTCCTGGCTGAATAAAAACTAGAGCTTGTCCAGCACTCTCACCGCTTCACTGGCCCTCACATAGGCAATATCTCAGACAGAAAAACTAAGAGGAGTCAGTTTGGACATACACTGAAATGTACAACCTGTGTTGTAGTGAGAAATCTGAAAGTGTGGTTACTCATCAAAACAATCCCTCCTAGCCACCTTCTCCCCCCAAGGAAAGATCAATAACAGAGGCAGCCAGATTATTCCATAGGAACAATTGAAGAACAGATTTTTTTAAATGGATGGCTCTTAATTGCCTGGTGAAGATGAAACTGCCCTCAAATACTTCATATTACAATAGGGATCACTTGCAACAAATGCTGCTCCTGGAACATTCACTTAAAATGATAGGGGACAGGATAATGTTGTCACTCCTGCTACTCAGAAAGTCCCAGGGCTTTGCCTCCACAGACCCAACTCTCCTACAGCACTGAGTAGAACAGAATGGTGCAGCTGTATCTCTCTTTTCCTGGGTTACCACAAAGCAATAAAAGGCCAAAATTTTAAGAGGTGGGTGTTTGGTCTGGTTTGGTTTTTTTGTTTTTGGGTTTTTTTGTTTTTGTTTTTGCTGAGTTCTTCATACCTTGGTGTTCCTTAACATCTGATAATGAAAGAAAGGTACAGCTTGTATGCTAATGTTATTTCAATTCCAGAAACAGCATCTATGACATGCTAAGCAGTTTTCTTAAAAGACCTCAAACATCTAACATTTCTGCTCTCCCCTAGAAAAGATTGTATCAGAAAGGACTCTATTGCCCAGCTCTTAAGAGGGAAAATGCTTGCATATGAAGAGACCATACCACACATATTACAATGCCATATAGAGCAGGTCAATGCCATGTTACTCTCCATGAAAGAAAAGGGAGAAGCATGGGGAGAAACTGTGTGGAAATAGCCATAAGGCCATCAGGCTTAATGTAAGAACTGACTGCACAGAACGCTTGCCATGTAGTTCAGAATCTACATGTTTTGAGCTGTTTCTGGATTACAGCATCACCAGTATGATTATGTAAGATCAACCTTTCTACCATACCTCAGGTGGCTTATCTGCTAAATAAGAATAAAGGAAGTTGGTTTTTCAACTTCTCTTTCATTGGGGTATGGGAACTTTCTGATGCTGAACTATTGTTACTAAAAAGTGATTTTTCCAGCTCTACAATTCTATGATTCTTAAATAGTTCCTGCACCTTTAGGAACGACATCATCATCAGTTCAGTAGATAGAGGAACGACATCATCATCAGTTCAGTAGATACAGGTTTCTCTCACTTCTGCCTGTCCAAAGGGGTGGGGGGAATTCCAGCTGCTTTTTATTTTTGTCTGTTGTTTGGCAAGGAAATTTGGCGGGAATAAAAAATGAGAACTCATCCTCTGTGAAGCAGGTCCAGGTAACTGCAGTGATGGGCCCTAACAAACTCCTCCTACTCCACCCTCAACTTGGAACTCATGTGCGCCCAGTCAGGTAGGTGCATAAACAGCACATATATGATGGACAACAGCAATGGGGAGAAATGACATATCCTAGTGGACCTTAATACCTTGCAAGCTTTTCTGGATGCAAAAGACTCTAAAGGTCTGCTCAGTGAAGATTAGTCATCCCGAGGAAAAAGGTTCATGATTCTGGACACAGCCCCAAGATCACACACACTGTCCGGAAGACCACACGTCAATGAAGTTAAGTTGGGGACAGTGCAGGAACCACAGCAGGAGCAACAATGTAGGCCTGGTCATGGGTCAGATGCACTGTACTCCTGAAAGACACTGCCGCCCTCAGAGAAACAGTTCTCAGAGTGTCTGTGTTCTTTATTATTCTCCACACATATTTATATTCTCACTTCTTTTTCAGAGCTGGGCAAAAGCAAATATATGAAAAATATTGACTATTATAGATTAAAGGCATATTCATAGCTGGTTGTGTTATCAAAAGCTAGCTAGTTCTATACACCTCCCCCCAATGTTTTAATGTGTTGTACTCTTAGCTCACTTTTTCTGGGTTAACTTGATGGTCCTCCATCTTATGTTTTCAGATGTCCTTGAAAAAGGACTTGTAATTCCAAAATCTGTTGTCTGTAATAATCCTGATCTTTCCTCTCATAGCTTTCAAGTGCTTTCTGTTCTTGTTTGATTTTGTCCCTTGTTCTCACAGAGGTGCCTTCATGTGATTAATCCATGAAGGAGACTTAACACATCAAACTGCACATTCTATCAGCCTTCCACCTGCCAACTCCAGTTTGAACTCTTTCCGCAGCACTACACGCATTGCTAGAAGTTTCATCTGAATACGTACTGGGAAGTTGGTTGGACTAAATATAAATATAAATAGACACTAGCTGAAATCTTGTAATAAGTTGCAATCAGAGTAGACAATTGATTGACAGATCATTTCAAATATTTATACCCTGCCAATCTCCTCAAGAGGACCCAAGGCAGCTTATAATATCAAAACAAACAATGTAAAAACTGGGAGAAGAGTGGGGGGGGGGGCAAACTGCAAAACACAACACTTCCCTCTTAGGAAGCCAGTTAGTGAAAAAAAGCTCACCTGAAGAGAAAACATTATGCCTGCCTGTAGAGCAACAGCACAGAGGGAGCCAGCCTGGCCTCCCATGGGAGGGGAGCCCCATAACTTGGGAGCAGCAACAGAGAAGGCCCTCTCCTGCGTCCTCACCAAAGACATCTGTGAGGATACTGGGAATGAGGTAAATACTACCCCTGATTATCTCAAAACCCAGGCAGACTCATAAAGGAAGAGGCCGTCTTTCAAACAGCTTAGACACAAGTAATTTAAGGCATTATAAGTGAGTCAACACCTATGTAAATACCATTAATTTAATGGGTCTATTTTTACTCTTGTGACTAACTACTGGACTTCTGCCACTATTTTCATTCTAACTGGATAATGGCCGCTGAGTGGAAAAGGGACCTTTCCTTCCCCTACCCATGCTTTGCTGTGTATAAGAGCACAGCGTAGGGCAGAAACTAAATACTCTCCTATACAAATCATTCCATGAACAACTTATTCCTGACAGGCAACATGTGGCCCCTGAACACAGCCCTCCTGCCAATTTTTAAAGCTCCCACCACAGCCCTGTGACCACACTGCTGATTGTTGGCGGCACAGCGTTGATGGCCCAGCCACCTTTAAAACAAGAAGCACAAGCAAGACCCATTTCATTTTTCCAGTGGAACCACATTGCAAGAATCCTCCTGGAAGAGCAATTGGTCTTGAAAACAAAGTGTGTGCTCCCTACTCACTGTGTTTTAAATGTAAACTGAGTTATAACTTCATTAACCTGTGCCACATTTTTGTTCCTATTAATTTCTCTCGTTTATCCTGGCAGCAGTGGGTCACAATTGTCCTCATCCCGAAATTGTTGTCATCCTGATCAGACAAAAGTGCATGAGCTTTGATCGCCCTCCAAGTCTCTACTGTCACTTCCATTGCTCATTTGTTTGCACAGACATGTCTTCGATTGCAAGCCCTGGTTTTTAGACTAGAGTTCCCATAATCCATCCACAGCTGCAACAGGGCACATGGTCATGACTGATGTAGTGTAAACTCTGTCAATTGCTGGGAAGCCACATTACCTTAAACTGTTGCCCAGAAATGGCATTTTCACTAGAAGCAGCTCTTTGTCACCTAGACCGCACAATGAAATAATAGGCTCCTGCTAATGTAGGTCATATCTAACCATCTTGTTGTCTCTTCAGCTCTCATGCCTTCCTCCGGTCTGATTAGTTTGATCTTGTCATAGATTATGTATTTGTAGCATCAAGCTATGAAGCTCTTAGCATTTTTCCAGCAAAGAGGGTGCTATAAAATTCCAGTAACTATAGGAATGGGCTACAATCAACCCTAGATAGATTCCTCCCCATCTCCAGTGAGTTTCCCTGTTGTTTATAATTGTGCCTGTAATTAGTATGTAGAAACTGAAGCTATCATTTGGTTTCTATTGCACCAAGCAAAAAGTCCCACAGAATGTATAAGAAAGTTTTTGGTGACAGTTATGAGATATCTACAGCATGAACCACTGAACGAGGGAACTGCAACCTGAATCTAAAGCTTATTTTTAAGTTCCACAAAGTGACTGTAAGAGCTATGTTTTAAATATTTTTATACTGTATAGGCAAATGCTTTTTAATTTTTATAGCATGTTTTATATGTGCTTATTTTTAACTATTTGTGAGCTGCTTTGGGTCCCTAAACTGGGCAAAAGGCAGCACAAAAATAGAATAAAATTAAAATAAATTAATAAACAATAGATGTCACAGTCAACAAAAGCATCTCAGGTTTGGGGTTTTTTGTGAGTGTGGTGAAGCAAAAAGAATGTAAGTTCCCATTTCATTATGATGTTTTATTTTACAACAGAGCTAATACTAAGGAGAAATATTGAAAAATGCTGTACTACAGTGAATACCAATCTAGGATAGGGACCTTGATCCTTACTCTAAATTGCTATAAGCTATAAAACACCATCTGCATTGGTGACACTATAAACAAAATGTGTATTTCTTTTAGTGGTTGTTATTGGTATGACTTTTACCAGATAAAAAAGAAAAATAATCCAAGGAGTTGCTAAATGTGAATAGCCTTCTCTCTTCATAAC